TTTCTGCTTTCCTGGTCACTTGGCACAGAACAAGAATAAGACTTTTTTCTTCCAGGATCACATAAAAACAGCCATAAGCACAAATAAAAAGATATTCAACATCATTAGCAATCAGGGAAATGCATATCAAAACTACACACCTAATGAGATGGCTGTAATAATACTTTTAAAAGACAGTTAATAAATGGTGGTGAGAATGTGAAGAAATTAAACGCTCATGCACTTCCAGTGTGAATATAAAATGGTGCAGATACTTTGGAAAAACTGGAAGTTCTTCAACAAATTAAACATAGAATTACCATAGGATCCAGTAATTTCACTCTAAGGTATAGAGTGAAATACCAAAAAGAAATGAAAACATAGACTCACAGACACTTACACATGAATATTCATAGCTACATTATTCATAAAAGCCAAAATGTATGTAAAAAATAAATGCTTATCAATGAATGGATAAACAAAATATCCATGCAATGTAATATTATTTGAACACAAAAAGGAAGGAAGCATGTTATATGCCACAATATAGACAAACCTTGAAAACATTATGGTGAGTAATAGAAACCAGTCACAAAAGACCACATATTGCATGATTCCATTTATATGAAATGCTCAGAACAGACAGATCTATGGAAACAGAGAAAAGATAAATGGTTGCTGTATTAAGCCATTCTCACACTGCTATAAAGAAACATCTGGAACTGGTAATTTATAAAGAAACGAAGTTTAATTGGCTCATTGTTCCACAAGCTGATAGGCAGCACGGCTGCGGAGGCCTCAGAAAATTTACAACCATGGCAGAAGGGGAAACAGGCACATCTTACATGGTGAGAACAGGAGGAAGAGAGTGAAGGCGGAGGTGCTACATACTTTCAAATAAGTAGATCTCCTGAGAACTCACTATCATGAGAACAGCAAAAGGGAAAACCACCCCCACGAAAAAAATTGCCTACCACCAAGCCCCTCCTCCAACATTGGGGATTACAATTTGACATGACGTTTAGGTGGGGTCACAGTGCCAAACAATATCAGTTGCCATATTGAGGAAAGAGTTGAGGGGGGGAATGGGGAGTGACTGCTAAAAAATACGAGCTTTTTTTGAGGTAATTATAAAGTTCTACAATTAATTGTGGGGACAGTTGCACAATTCTGTGAACATACTAAAAGTCATTGATGTACACACTTTAAATGGGTGAATTATATGGTATGTGAATCATATCTCAATAAAGCTTTTATTTTAAAAACTGAGGTTGCTAGGAAGTGTATGATTCAATGAATTACCATAGGACAGGACAATAAGAGAAAGATGCTGACCACCTGGAATAATAGAAAGAAGTCAAAGAATAGAAAGTTTCCATGAGAAATAACCACAGATATAGTAGTAGCCAAGAAGTGAGGGAAATAAAATAATCCTTGATTTTACCAATCACTACTTAAGCTAACCCTAATCTTTCTTACCTGAGTAAAAGTCATTGGCCCTGGTCACTCAGTCATGGATTGATTAACCTGGAATTTGTTCAAGATTCTAGGAATCCAAGCCAGCTAGGTATCAAATGACTTTCCAGGAATTTTCTTTGACAGTCTAGTTTGTTGAAGCCATTTAATGGTGATGAGAAACCTGCTAGATCTGCTCAAGCCAACCAGATGGATACCTTATTTGGTATACCCATAACTTCTGATCAGCTCTATTTCCTGTGAGACCTTCTCCACTTAGCTCAAGTGGAAGAAAAATAAATGAATATTTATTATGTACCTTATTTCCATAAATTGTGACATTTAATCCTCAAATTTCTTACCCAGATTATAAGTAAAAAAATTGGACCAGAGAGTATAAGTGACTTTTTCAAAGTCACATAACTAGCTAATAAGGGTCATGACTAGAATTCTGGTTTTGGCTGAAATCCATGTCCTTCTCACTACAAGTAGGTAGTGGGTACTCTTGCAGAGTGAGACTTATTACAACAGTTTCTCCCCATGGATCAGTTCCCCTGAGAGCTACTTTCAATGTCTTTTGAAGCTGGAATTTGTGTTATTGCTAATTTTAAAACAATGATAACATCTACACATTAAACACTTCTCTAGCTTGTTCCCTTGACAACCACACACCTAAGATTAGATACAAAAATGTTCCTTGTTAGTGTTTGGCTTTAAAAATCTCAGTTTATGAGAACATAATTTTTAATACACTTTTAAACAGAGCATACAAGAGTTTTAATAGCAATATAGAGTGGTATCTCTATGCTACCACAGGAAATATTATAACAACATAAAAATATCATTTGAAGAAAAATTATCTTCAGGTAACACAAAATTTCAGGTTACTTTCACATCACTGTTCTTTCTCAGACTGGACCAACGAGCTAAGGTGTGCTGGAGCTAAGGGCTCTGAGACCCAGCTACCAGCTACACTTGTTTGTTTGGTCAGCTGTTATATATATATATGTATATGTATATATATATATATATGTATGTATGTATATATATATGTGTGTATATAAATATATTATTACAGAGGTTATTATACAGAAAACTATTTCCATTGTAAATAAAATTAAACACTGTAAGATTTTACAGAGCAAAAGATGACATTATTCATCAGCTTCCATAGTGTTTCCATACCTTTTGCTACACATTCACATTCATATGTATACATACTGTATAATTTTTCTACTGATAAAAAGCATTACACAATACATATTATCCTGTTACATTTTAACAGCTTTATTGAGATATAATTTGAATACCATACAATTCACCCATTTAAAGTGTACAAATCAATGGTTTTAGTATATTCACAGATATCTGCAACCATTTCCAGTGTCTACTTTAGAATATTTTTATCACTTTAAAAAGAAACTCTGTATCTTTTAGCTTTCATTCTCATATCCTCCCAATTTCCCAAGCTGTAAGCAACCACTAGTCTACTTTATGTCTCTATAGATTTCTTTATTGTGGACATTTCATAAAATTGGAATCACATAAAACATGGACTTTGGTGATTAGCCTCTTTCACTTAGCATAATGTTTTCAAAGTTCACCCATATGATATAGCATGTATTAGTACTTCATATTTTAATACAACTGGATCATATTACCTTGTATGGCTATATCACATTTTCCCTGTTATTTTTTTATTTGGTATCTTATATTATTTCCATTCAATATGTACAGATATTACTCTTTTTACTGACTGCACAGTATTACATAGTTTTGATGCAACGTAATTCATGTAACCATTCACCTACTGATAGAAATGTAAGTTATCTCCAATCTTTATTCATTGTAACAGTAATTTATAACCTACATAAAAGTTAAAGGGAAAAAAGAAAAGGCCATGACTCTTGGCAGGAGAAGGTGCCTTCTCTAGAACAATGGTCTGAAAAGTATGTTCCTTGATCTGCAGCATCATCTAGGAACTTGTTAGAAATGCATATTCCTGAGTCTTATCCCCAGATATTTTGATTCAGAAATTCTGGGTTGGGGCCTGGTGTTCAGTGTTTTAAGAAGCCCTCCTAATAATTCTGAAGTGCACTAAAATTTCAGAACCATTGCTCTAAATCTCTCTCACTGTACTACAGTGGCTATGATTGTTTGGTTTAAAGTAAATTTTAAAAATTAGCAGGACCAAAATAATTGGCTTTAACTCATGACTGCTATAAACATTACATAAGGCAGGAGTATAGTAGTGAGGTATTTCTTATTTTTCTTTAGCAAGAACACTTTAATATACCAAAAACTTTTCTTCCTCACACACTTTTCCTATCTGTTAGATCCCTTATCCTCTCCTCTCATAACCTTGAAAAATCAACAAGTAAACCATTTACACAGCTTTAAGATGCCAGGAGATGGAGAGATTTTCCTTCCTGACTCTCACATATTGATTGATTATAACCACAGGACAATGAACCTTACTAGATAGACCCCAGCTCCAATTAGAAACTGAAATACTAGGAAAATGCGATTTTACTAAATTCAAAGATTGAAACAAGAAGGAAATTTAGAGGTATGTTAGTCAAGAGTCATATTTTGGAGATAAGGAAAATGAAATTCAGTGAAATTACATTTAAACACAGAGGATGCACAGCAAGTATAAACCTCATCCCTCATTATATTATATTCTATATACAGCTTTACTAAAATTGTTCTTGATCAGGGATATGCATGAAATCCATATGGGGATATTTCTTTTAAATATGCGTTTAGAAAGACATTTTCCTTATCTTACTAAGGACAGTAAGAGGACCGATGTAATCTAACTATCTTTAGAAAACATTAATGGACATCCGGTATCATATTGCTCTCTAATTCAGCAATGCCCACAGAAGTCATAAAAGGTCCAAAAAAGTCAGAAGTACTTAGCTTCTGATCCTTATGCTAAATAGCTCCAGATTGCTGTGTTTCATGTTCTTTTGGCTTTCTACTGTGTTTCTGTCTCCTGCTTTGATTTTAGTTATTACTTATTACATATATCAGTGGGTTTGCATCCAGCAGTCCTAACCTGTACTCCCACAGCTACTACTGCCAATATGAGTTGAGACACCAACTACATACAACCGTTAGAAGCATTACAAAGATGTTAGTAAAACAGGCTGAGTGAGGAACTAGAAAATTCATTGTAGGGACTCTGTAATACTTAGACTATTCTGGAATGAAATCAGACATGGTATTCTGTAAGAAAATGGCATACTAGCAAAACATCCTGTACACAAATGAAATAAAAAATTGACTCTGAGGATTTTTTTAACCTCAGGAATGTATGCATTCCTCCATAAAGATTTTTCTCCTGGTTAGTTTTTTTCTTTACATTTTTTATTTAATGAACTTGATTTTTTAGAGCAGTTTTGAGTTCAGAGCAAAACTGAGCAAAAAATAGTTACCATGTATTTCCTATCCACGCATACCCACAACTTCCCCAGCTATTGACATCCTGCACCACAAAATCCATGGTGGGTTTTTAAAGCTATGTAAATAGCTTTAAAAAAGGGGACAGTTTAAATTACCTGTAACACCACAGAACTGTGGGTATTGCTGGTAAAGATGCGTGTAGGTCCTGCCTTGGAAGACTGCAAATGGGATGAGAGGCCCATTTCACTGCCTCCAAGGGACAATTTCATGTGTTGGTCTTCCTCTTCCACAAGAGATCTGAAAGTTGTTTTAAATAAGAAAGAAGGGCAAATTAAAACTTGTACAATTCACAATGAGATTATTTAGAAAGATACTCAGTCACTATTGCCAATCATATGACTATGCAATATGGTAAATATTGTTTCATGTTATTATAGGTTTGTACCACTCTTTATCTTAGAAGAAATGTATAATTGTAAAATGCTTTCAAAGGACAGAAAATACAGATGATAACTGATAAATCAACTTAACAGGTGGTTCAAAATTATAGTCACAGAGTTTTTAAAGGCCACAGTAGTTACTGCTGATATTTTACTATTTAGATAGCAATGCCATCAAGTTGTGTTGCCTATAGTTAAAATTAATTTGGAACACCTAATTTGGGAAAGATAAAAATAATAGCTACCATTTCTTGAATACTCAGTATGTATCAGGCACTTGCCAATAAGTTTATACACAGACTACGTAAAGAAGGGTCGAAAACCACTTACCTAGGGTCACAATGTTATTAAAGTAGCTGGCCCAGGCTTTGAATCTAGATCTAGTCTGATTCCCACTCCAAACCCCCATTAATAAAAGTAAAAGATCAATTGTGATGTATTAATGCATTACTTCCTCTTCTGTTATTAGTAATAGTTTTAATCAATCCCAATTGAACAAAATTTTTCACATGAAATAGTTTCTTTTTCTAGCAGTAACTCTTACCAGTTTGAGATTGGTTAATAACTACAATACAGTCACATTTCCATCTTTTCAAAGAAATGAATACTAAAAATATAAATATAGACAATCTTGTATTTGCATATATTGCAACAATAATATTTTCAAGGGGCATAACCAAGAGTGGGAAACTTTAATCAGCAGGTCACTTAATTGCAAACAGAATATGACAATACATTTGATAGTTAAAAAATCTCAAGATTATACTAAAAATGGGCCATGATGAACAACCTTCCATCATTCCTTAGAAGAGATCTTGTGTTTCTCCATAAGTATACATTGCTAAAATAATTTCTGGATCACCTGCCTAAGGGTGGGGAGCCCATGGCTCAAGAATTTGGTTCCGTATTCATTATGTAGACTGCTAAAACAGACATTAGGAAAAAAGAAGGAAAGCAGATTTTCAAATGTTAGAACTCTTCAATTGCCTTGTAATTTCCTCAATTTAGAATTATTTGCTTTTTTAACTCGCTAACTGAGCTATTCAGTATCAGAATGGTTTCACCTTTTTTTCCTATTACACCTATAAACTAAGTTGATCAGTTTTAACAAGAAAAAGACTATACTAAAGATTCTGCTTTCTGAATTATGACACCAAGTGGTTTTAAATCTTGTAATAATTAGCAAAAAGTCTGGCCTTAAGGGTGACATCAATTCATCTTAATGATATTTGAGCCATAGTATAACTAAAAATGAATTAATAATATATAACTATGTTTAATTCAATTCTGATAGATATTTAATAAAGAAGAGAATACTTTTAGATTTTAAAAAGCAGAAAAGAAAATGGATACAGCCTTCCACCAGAGTTTCAGAGATAGCTTTAAAGAGAATTAAATTATATTTATGATGTATAGCACATACACACACTTTTAAACAACGTTTTTGGACAGACACTTACAATTACAGAATCAATTGGAAAAGTCAGAGATTGATTGATGGTGACTGGTATCCCTAACCAGAAAATGTCTATTCATCCAAAATTATATTAATAGGATATTCAAGCAGACCATTTTATTAGTTTCTGTATTCCCTGCACAGAGCCTGGCACAAGAGACTTAATATATGTCATCCGAATGAATACAGGATCTTCTTTCTGTAGATCATTCCAAAGACATTTCTTTATTATGCAGTGCTTAAATGACCATCAATTATCATTATTATAAAACTGCAGATGTAAAAGGGATGGGAGTAAAGCTAAATTCACATTGCCACTATGACATATCCTGGAAATTGCTTTTTTTGAGTAAAACGCAGATAACAACTTGTTTACTTTGTCCTTTGTCTCTTGCTCTTAAAAACAGAAAGTGAAAATGCAGCCCTTTCTTGCCAATATAATATGCCTGCCTTTTAAATTAATTACTTCAAAAGCTGAAGAAACCTGCACTAAAATTATCTTTTTCATTATGTTTTATCAGTATCTTTTGACTTTTTAACATTCAAAACACTCCCTACTAATTTTTGCATTGGTAACAGTACATGCCATGTTGACCTTCATAGCAGATTCAATATTCCTATCTATCTCCCCTTTAATAAGTTTATTGATTGGATGTGAAGAGCATTGTTCTTCAACATTGCAAGGAGGTAATACGTCTCTGCAAACCCCAAGCCACAATTATAGCAATTTATGCTTAAAGGAATTATCTGAGTAATTCCGATAAAAAAATAAGTTTTTAATCTGATTTTCTTTCAACTCATATATAGTTAAATACAATATATATACAAGTCATTTTCCATGTGGGGAGGGGGAGCAGGAGGCATTTTACCCCTCCTCCCACCCCCGCATTGGTAACGTCTGCAGACATTTTTCACTGTCACAACTGCGGATGCTGCTAAACATCCTACAAAACACAGGACAGTTCTCTAGGTCAAAGATGTTCTCGGCAAAAAAAAGTCAAGTGCCAAAGTTGAGAAATCCGAATATAAAGGAATTGACTGTCTCATGAAAATTTTTCACAAGCAATTTCATGTTTAAAATAATTTCCCAGTCATAGGGTTGAATCAATGAGGTAATGCTAGCAATATGAAACACAGCGGGATTATTAATTACCACGAATACTTCCAAGGCTACCTAACAATTCCTGTGCTCTCCTCAGGCCCATCAATTTGAAAACTCCAGTCTAATAGTAAATAAGTAGATAATGGCTTTGAAGTTTTTAAGAAAATTATGCAGCAAAGCTTTGGTTTTACATAAGCTCATGTAAGAATAATATTTTCCTAAATCTGCATAAAATAGTTATTTGGAACCAGTTTTACATGTTAAGTTAGAATCTGGCAAATTCTGTCTAAATAGTCCCATTTCATCAACCATATAAAATTACTCATGGGAGAGACTACATTAACAAATTTCTTTCTAAAAATTAAACCTCTCTTTTCCCTACCATATTATAGTCTGTATGCCACCCCCGCCTACCCTATCACCACAGCACACATCTTATTCCTGAAACAATGATCAACCATAAAGCACAAGAGCAGTCTTTCACAAAGTCTGCATGAATCACTCAACTGTGCTTCCTAAAAGAAAACAATTACTTTTTTGATGAGTATTAGCTTAGAGATAGAGGCACTGTCTGATCATTTTACTGAAAGCGTTGTAAACGTGTTCAAACTAAACATACACAGACTGTGGCATTTCTCCACACTGTACTTAAAGACAACGGAAAAAAATGTCTAAGACATTGTCATATGTTAACAAAGGGCTGCCAACATTGTAATCTTGCCTCAAAATGTCCACATATTTAAGATTACCCAAGAGAAACGTGTAAGTGATATGAACACACAATTCACAAAGATCAAGGTACAAACAGTTAGCAGATAGAAAAATGTTCAACCTAATCAGTATTCCAGGGTATGCAAATTAAGATAATTAACACAAAGATTGTATCTTTAAACGTGTAAAATTATCAAAGTACAAGATACACTCTCAAAATTGCTAGTGCAAACATGTAATAAATTCCTACTACTGTCTGCATAGAATTGTTCATCCAAACGGATTTTTTCAAAGGAAATTTAAAACTCACTAAATGGTCAAATGTGGTTTTTTTTAACAGCAAGCAACATGACAATGAAGAATTGTGTCCTGTTATCTGTGACCTGGTAGGTAGGACACAGCAAGAGTGCTCTGCTAATCTGATTTAAATATCTCTTCTTCGATGAATACTTCTGTAGAGGCTTAATTCGGTAGAAGTTCTTTAGAGAACCATGTACTCTTAGAATTCATTATAGCAAATATGTTTCTTGGAATGCTATACGGGGAAGGAAGAAGCATCTCTTAATTGCATCATTTGGCTCAAAAGCCACAAATAACCTTTCAATGCTCCTCAAGCTCCATACCTAAATAAATCCCATGGTAATCCACTGAAACCAGTGCCATTGTGTTTAAAAAATAAGATATCATCTTGATGAAATACAAAATGTGTACCTCAATTTCTTCGTTTCTATCATTGCAAATAGCTATTCATGTTATACAGAAACCCAGGTGAAGTCAAATTTCAATGTCAAGGAAAAAGGAACATTTTAGTGCTTCTTAAAATTATTATCATGAAAGCACAATAAAAACACTTAACTTTTCTTCATAGACAGTTTTTGTGTGCCAACTCATGCATTGGCACATTAATATCTAGCTCACATCAAATAAAAAGCAACATCTTCATACTGCTATGAATAAAAGATTGCTCTCTATATTTTCCTGTACTGTTTATAATTTCTGAGGGGAAAAAGGAAGAAATGAATTAGATAAAAGCTAGAAAGGTAAAAGTATATGAACAACACTTTTTTCAATTTAGTATCCCATTTGTTTCATAGTGCTTTACTTGCCATCATTTCATTACCAAAAAAGGTTATATCTAACAATATATTCTAAAATCTCAATTTCACTGCAACAAAAGAATGAAAGTCTCAGGCAGGGTGCTATGGCTCATGCCTGTAATTTCAGCATTTTGGAAGGCCAAGGCAGGCAGATCACCTGAGGTCAGGAATTCAAGACCAGCCTGGCTAATATGGTGAAACCCTTTCTTCACTAAAAACACAAAAATTAGCTGGGCATAGTGGTGAACACCTTTAATCCCAGCTACTCAGGAGGCTGAGGCAGGAGAATCTCTTGAACCCAGGGGGTGGAAGTTTCAGCTAGCCTAGATCACATCACCGTACTCCATCCTGGGCAACAGAGTGAAACTCCATCTCAAAAAAAAAAAAAAAAAAAAAAAAAAAAATATATATATATATATATATATATAAAGAAAGAAAAAGAAAGTCTCTTGCATTAGTGTCAAAAGTATAATATATAGATAATTCAAGTT